TTGGGTTCATGAGAGGACGTCAGCATGAGAGCAGGCACTTCTTGGATGACCAGGCACTCACAGGAACTGTCCCCAGGGCTGTGGGAACAAGACAGTCCCCCTCAGGCACCTCCTGTGCCTCTCCTTAAAGTTCCTGAATCTCAGGTGTGCCCCTTTCTGACCGTGCAGGTGATCTCCATGGTGATGGTGGCGGTGGGTGTCTATGCTCGGCTGATGAAGCATGCAGGTGAGCTCAAAGCCCTCCCCACCCATCAGGACCCTCCCATGGTCAGCCCCGCCCAGCTCCAGGTACTCTGGTCCTCTGCTCCTCACACAAGTGCAAGGGGCCAGAGGCGTCAGTCCCTGCCCTCAAGAGTCTGCATTGTTAGCTCAAAGAGTGTCCAGAGGAAAGGGAGGTCAAGGTCTTTAGCCTCTCCTCCCCAGCTCTGTCTTCTCCTCCACCCCTGTGCAGCTAGCTGCCCATTCTCCAGATACATTTGGCCAGGCCTGGCGCTCAGAGCCATTCTAACTCCTGTCTCTAGCCAAGCGGCCCCTCCTCTCATAAACCCAAGGACTAAACACTCAACCTGCCTAGTGTCCCCACGCTCGCTCAATGCCACAATCTCCTAGGACCCTTTTTTCTTCTCCTGCGAGGGGCCACCAACTCCCTGTGCCCTTCACCCAGCTGAACTGGAGGTTCAACACCCCACCCCTCCCCCAGAAGCAGCCCTGGCCTGCCTGGCAGTGGACCCCGCCATTCTGCTGATCGTGGTGGGCGTCTTGATGTTTCTGCTCACCTTCTGCGGCTGCATTGGATCCCTCCGCGAGAACATCTGCCTCCTGCAGACGGTGAATGGCCCCGTGGAAGGCGGCAGGCAGACGGCCTTCTCTCCAAGCTTGCCCAGTCACCTGGGCTGGGGCCCCTCACCAAGGCGCTCAGCCCCAGGGAAACCAGAAACGAAGGGGGCGGGGAAGGGGGGGGCACCCTGAACAGTGGCCTAGAGCTAGGAGCCTTCTCAGTGCTGGTGTGATGCCAGTGGGGGTGGGGGTGGGGGGGTCACCTGGGAGGGGAGCTCCCTATGGTAAAACTGCCCTCCCTGCCCCCACCTGTGTCTCCCCGCAGTTCTCCCTCTGCCTCACCTTGGTCTTCCTGCTTCAGCTGGCCGCGGGCATACTGGGCTTCGTCTTCTCGGACAAGGTATCGTTTGAGAGTCAGCACCCTTCTCCACCCCCGGCGGTGAGCCAGGTGGAGGCAGGGAAGGGTCCTGACCACCTTGAGGCTGATCAACCCAGCAAGCCTCCCTCTGAGAAGCCGCCACCTCCTTCCGCGAAGTCAGAGAGGCCTTTCCCCAACGACTTCGAGGTCAACAGGGGAACTCAGTCGATGGGCATCCTGCTAAAATAATCCACAGCCTAATATCAAGTGACTCCGTAAAATGCCATGGCCCAGCAGAGCACAGAGACAAAGGAAGGGCCTCTTTACTTTTTTTTTTAATTGTGTGTTGGGGGGAAAAAAAGCGCTGTGCCTTAGGGTCAACCGGTGGAGAGGGAGTGGAGAGAGGGAGGGTGGTTTGGAAAAGTGTTTCCTCTGCGGAAGTGGTCTGCCATTGTAACCCAGACCCAGAACAACTTTCCCCAAAAGGCAGCTAGATGGGGGCCAGGAACAGAGGCTAGGACCACGGATAGGACCCTTTGAAGAACAAACAGTAGAGCAAAAAGGGAGGGCGTATAGGACAACGAACCGTGAAAAGGGACAGCCACAGGGTTCATTCAGAAGGGCCTCAATCCTGGTTTCGTGAAATCCTAAAACGATAGACACGCTTAAATCTAAAGAGATGCGATTCTCTGTCTGCCCACTAGAGGGAAGCGCCTCCGTGCGCAAGCCTCTTTCTACTCAAGCTTTGTTTCTGTGTTTTGCATCCATCAGAGGGGTACAGGAAAACTAGGTAATGTTGACATGTGCCATCAAGTTGGTCTTGACTCACAGAAGCCTGTGTGACAGGGTGGAACCGCTCCCACAGTTTCCTGGGCAGAGTGCCAGGTCTCTTCTCCCAAGGAAAGACTGACTGCTGGGTTCCAAAAGCTGGCTGTGTGGTGAGCGGCAGAGCATCGAACATTAACCAGTGCGCCTCTGGGGCTCCTTGATAAAATGCTGTTACAGGGGCTGTGTCGGCCCTCTGTAAAACAGAACGAAGCACTACCTGGTCCTGCACCATCCACCCATTACCACAGCCACCGGGGCAGAACATCTTGTTGAGAATCTCCCTCTTCTTCACTGGCCCTCTATTTTACCAAGCCTGTTGTCCTGCTCCCGGGACTGGCCCCTCCTGATGATGTGCTCAAAGTCCGGGAGGCTTAAGTCTCGCCCTCTTGGCTTCCAAGGAGTACTCTGTGTGTACTTCTCCCAAGACTGGTGTCTTTGTTCTTGGGGCAGTATCTGGCACGTTCACTGTTCTCCACCAACACTGTAACTCAAAGGCAAACGTTCTTCACTCTTCCTCCTTCATGGTCCAGCCTGTGCAACATGGGAGGTAACTGAAAGCGCCATGCGTGGTCAGGCGCGCCTCAGACCTCCACCTTTGCTCTGGCACACATGGGGCTTTGGCAGCAGGTATGCCTAGTGCGAGAACTGTAGAATAGAGCCTGGGTTCCTGAACTGGGCTGATCACTGGACTCACCTGAGGATCTGGGGAAACTACAGATCCCTGGGCTCCTCCCCCAAGAGCAGCGGTGGGTTGGGACCCCTTTGGCGGTGGAAAAACCCTTTCACAGGGATCACCCGATTCATAGCACTAGCAAAATGACAGTAATGAAGTGACAACAAAAATAATTTTATGATTGGGGGGGCACCACAACATGAGAAACCACATGAAAGGGTCGTGGCATGAGGAAGGCTGAGAACCACTGCCTTAGGGATTCTGACTCAATGGGTTGCAAATAGAGCCCCGAAACCGAACCAAACAAACAAACAAAAACTCACTACCGTGGAACGGTTGCCAATTCGTAATGACCCTATAGGACAAGGTAGAACTGCCCCCTGTGGATGGGAGTAGAAAGCCCGGGCCAAGAGCTGCTAGTTCACCACATGCCCAGGTGATTCCAGTGAGCAGTCAGGTTTGAGGACCCAGAGAATAGAGGTAGATCAGTGTTGGATTGTCTCCCAACCCCAAGCCAAGCATCGCTCCTTCCTCCCCTCCGGCTGAAGTAAGGCCAAGAGAGGTGCTCCTGGAGTGGTGGCAGTGGCAGGCCCAGGGCAGGTGGGCTTTGGAGCGGGCCATCTCCCAGCTGACTTCATAAAGATGGATGGCCAGCGGGTTCTGTCGTTTCTGCCAGGAGGAGGGTGGTCGCGGCTAGCCCCGTGTCCTGACTCACTCCTCCCGGTGTCTTTGGCAGGCCCGGGGGAAGGTGAGCGAGATCATCAACAATGCCATCGTGCACTACCGAGATGACCTGGACCTGCAGAACCTCATTGATTTTGGCCAGAAGAAGGTATGGGTGACGGTGGTCCGGGGACTGTGGGGGAAAGCTGACAACACCATCAAGGGGGTACTTCCCCCCTCCAGCCCTGCAGGCCTCTTCATTACCTTCCAGGCTGTGGGTACTGGGAAGGGAGGGGGGTTGGTTATAAAAGGAAGAACAAAACCCGACAGGATGCTTTACAGTGGTTCTCCACCTTCCTAATGCCACAACCCTTTCATACAGTTCCTCGGGTTGTGGTGACTCCCAACCATAAAATTATTTTCATTGCTACTTCATCACTGTCATTTTGCTACTGTGATGCATCGGGCTATCCTTGTGAAAGGGTCATTCGACCCCCAAAGGGGTCTCGACCCACGGGTTGAGAACTCCTGCTTCAGAAGACCTGCTCAGGAGACAGGATAGGTCGCAATCTGCCATCCGTTTCAATAAAAACGGAAGGAACGCCTGTCAATGGACATGAGTCTTAGAGGCTACCTAAGAAACCCAGGATGGATGTTCTGTTTGGGGCCGGGGACTGGGCAGATTGGATTCAGAAGGTACATTTGAAGTGGACATTTGAGTGGTCCAGTATTCAGGCCGCTCCCCCGGTGACTGGAGACCCATGGCCCTGTTTGCTGTCAAGCAGTCACCACGGGCGCACAGTGCTGAGGCTGCCCCTCTGTGATTGCTCGGTCTGAGAGCAAGGCTTTCAGAGCAGATCTTTTACTTCCTCAGTATGTCTTGCCACGCTCAGCTGTGCAGGGCTGCCCAACCGGAAACTGCCCTAGAGGGATTCAGAGTTGCCCATGTAAAGCAAAAACTCCACGCACAGGGACAGGTGGTAAAATCAAGCCCGGAGGGGTGACTCCCTTGTATTTAAGCACAGCCTGCCATTGTTCCAGGGAGAAGCTAACCGTAGGCTTTCAGCTGATCCCATTGGGCACCACTGGAGTTGGGGGGGCGGGGGGAGGCTGCGGGCGGTGGGGATGCTCCACAGTGGCCATTGGGGGGGGGGACGCTTTGTTGCAGTTCAGCTGTTGTGGAGGGATTTCCTACAAGGACTGGTCCCAGAACATGTACTTCAACTGCTCGGACGACAACCCCAGCCGGGAGCGCTGCTCTGTGCCTTACTCCTGCTGCCTGCCCACCCCCAACCAGGTGAGCCTCCGTTGCCCCGTGCTGCCTCCTGGGCAGGGCCGGTGAGCATTCCGCCCCGGCCCATTTTCCTTGTGAATTGGGTGAAGGCTGGCAGAGCAAATCCGTTTCCGGTCAACGATCCCTCTGTACATATTTGGTTTCGTGTCGTCCCTCACCATCCCTTCTCCCGCTCCCTCCCTGTGTGCCCACGCTGCAGTGTCCAGTCTGCTCCCTGCCCAGACCCTTTGGAGCAACATGGGGACATGCCGCCCCCGGGTCCCAAATGGTGGATGATTCCAAGGCGTGCGCACCTCCTTAGGGTTACCTTCCCCTTAAAACCCTGCCTGTGGTTTGACGTGGTGTCGCGGGTTATTATGCCTTGGGCAAAGTCAGCATTTTGAGACCACAGCCGCTCCGTGGGAGGAAGATGAGGCTTTCCTACTCGCTTAAGGAGTTAGAGTTACAGTCACCGAAACTCAGCTGGGCAGTTCTACCCTGTCGGATGCGGTCCATGTGGGTCGGAATCGACTTTGACATCGTGAGTGTTGAGACTGTTTGGCTGATCATCGAGCTGCGGAGATGAGCTCCGGTCTACACCCAAAGGGTGACTCAGGGGGATCACTCCACACGGATTCTCTGACACCGGTGCTTGAGGGCTGCAGACGGACGGACAGTTGTTGGCGGGAGTCCCACTGGGCTTTCCACCTCTCTCCCCAGGCAGTGATCAACACCATGTGTGGCCAAGGTATGCAGTCCCTTGACTACCTGGAAGCCAGTAAAGTCATTTACCCCAACGGCTGCATTGACAAGCTGGTCAACTGGATACACAGCAACCTCTTCTTACTCGGCGGGGTGGCGCTGGGCCTGGCCATCCCCCAGGTAACACGCCCCGTGAGGCCTGCAGGCCCCACAGACCCGGCTCGGCAGAGGTGGCCTCTTCATCTGGAGTAGGGCCTGGGGATCCTCTAGGTGTCAAAGTCCAGAGGTTGCTGAAGGGCAGAGAGGGTGGCAGAGTGGCATGGGGGGTGTGGTACGGAGTTAGGGACACGCAAGTGGCCCTGCTGCAGACCCAATTCCTCCTTGCCTGAGACCCCCATCCCACCTCCCACCTGTGTTTCCCCTCTCCCCAGCTGGTGGGAATCCTGCTGTCCCAGATCCTGGTGAACCAGATCAAAGATCAGATCAAGCTACAGCTCTACAACCAGCAGCACCGGGCTGACCCGTGGTACTGAGGACCCGTCACCGTGGCAGCAGACGCGTCTCGTCTTGTCCTCCCACGATGGCAGGCCCAGCTCTGGGCACCAAGTAGACATGGGGGCGGGAGGGCAGCCCCTCAGAGACAGCCGTGTAGGAAGCAGGTTCCAGAATGGCAGAAGGCAGGGCACATAGCCGCCCTCCCTCGGGCAGGGTCTTGGAAGGATGTATGTGCCCCACCCCACACCCCACCTACCCCTGCAGCAATCCGCCCCATCCTAGCCCGACCCACTATTAGTGAATTGTTTGTCTTGCTTCTCTCCTTAAGCATTTGGGTTTCTGTTTTGTTTTGTTTTGAAGTTTGTTTGGAAAACAGCCAGTGCTGGCTGCCCGCTTCACTCTGAGGCCTTAGGGCCAGCTGGGCTGGGGCAGCTGCTGAGCTCGGCAGCTGGCAGACCGCGACTCTGTAATGGCCCCAGGGTCCTCCACCCGGAGCCCAGTGGGCCCAAGACCAACTCCAGCAAGGAAGGTGGTGGAGTGGGCAGTGAGCTCGGGGGTCGGCTGGGGACAGTTGTATATATCTGTCCGGCACTGTGGAAGGGGATGTTTACTGAATGCCTGCGCTGCCATTCCCCAGGTAGCTACACCCTGCCCCTCCTTCGTTTCCATGGAAACGTGGCAGCACAGGCCAGGGGTGCCACAGCGGCCAAATTCAGCTTTTGGGGGAGAAAAGTATGGAACCAGGTTCACTGCCCTCTACAGCCTGCATAAAGGGAACTGAGCCAGAGATGCCCTGCCGTCCTCCCCGTGGTGGGGGGCCCTCCGGGGAACCCTCCCCCACCAAGTGGGGTCTTGTGCAGAAGAGGCAGGCGGTCCCACTGACCCACCAGCCCCTGCGCTGGGCACTGCCACCAGTAAGCAGCAGGAGTCTTGGGCAGAAGGAGCCAGAAACAGCAATAACAGTTTGTTGGCCTGGGCTAAAGAAGCCTCCGTGAATTTTCCACTCTGCCATCTGCGGGGGAAGGGTAGGGAAACTCAGCAGGGCCCCCCTTAAGCCCCACCTACCTAGCTCAGAACTGTGTGCACTGCCCCCACCCCCCATCCCTCAACACATTCTAAACCTCTCCAATCTAAACCAAACAGATGTTTATTAAAAAATATTTTTCAAATTAAAGTGAATCCTGCCCCCAGAACTGTTATGGTGTGGGTAGGGGTGGGGGGTGCTGCCTTGGTGCCCACTCTTGGCCACCCCATGTGACAGGGTGGCACTGCCCAGAGGGTGTCCTGGGCCGGCAGGGTCTACCTTGGAGTTGGCGTCTTCCCCGGGCATCCCAAACCAGATCTCTACCTAGAGGCAATGAGCCCGGGAGCCAGCTGGCATTGTAGAGCTGGGGGCGGGGCACCCTACGGCACTATGGGTGGTCCCTGTCCCTCCCTGGAGAAGTGTGGGCGGGGCCTGTGATCCTGCCACGGAGGGGGGGCGGGGCTGTCCCCAAGTCTCCCCAGTCCCCTGACTACCAGGGGCTCACCCAGCCAGCCCCTACATTCTGGGGCAACAGAGGCACTTGCTGTCTGCCTCCCCTGGTTCTGCGCCCCCACCCCCATTCCTGGGAGGGCGCCTTTCCAGCACCCCCTGGGGCCCCCGCCTGGGCTTCGAGCCCAGCAAGGAACAGAACGGGGCGAAAAAACAAAATTATCCCAAGTATTTTTTCAAGTACATTTTTAAATTCAAAAACACGTTTCTTGCTCTGGAAAGAAGAAGCCTGCACGTAGTTTCTGGGTTCTGCCCTGCGGGGGACCCTCTTCCCCCAGGGTCCAGAGGCACAGGCTGGGGGGGGGGGGGCTCTGAAGTGGGCTTCACAGCCTGGCCAATCACTCTACAAACCACGCTTCCCTAGGCCTCCACTGTGGGCTCTCCGCGTCAAGCCAACGGGCTGGGGCAAGAAGGTGGGGGCGTTTCTGCCCCAGCCCCAGGCCTCGACCCCCCTGAGCAAGTGTGCCAAGTGTGCCCAACAGAGACCAGGGTTCTAACTCCAGCCACCCCGCAGGACAGAGCTGCCCCCCGCCCCATTGATTGCCACACACCCCAGGAACAACCTCCGACCTTCGTGTTAGCAGGCAGTGCTTAAGCGCTGCACCACCAGAGGTCCTTTTGGAAGCTTACCAGGCAGATTCGATTCCAGCTCGACTCTCTCACAAAGATTTGGGGAGAGAAAAATGACACCAAAGAAGGGTTCTTATTGTTAATTCAAGTTTCAACTCACTCTCCTCCCTGACTTCCTCCCTATTTCTAGGGACCCTAGTTTCAAACCTATGGAGTGCACACCAAGACTTTGGAACAGCTGATCAAATCTAGGGAACCCCTGGGTGGGGTGGGCATCCCACTTACTAGCCAGCAGTTTGAAGGTTCGAACCCAGCCAGAACCTCCTTGGGAGGGGGCTTACCATACCCACCCCTTTCAACCTCACGATGACTTGGGGGGAAGGAGTGGACTGTGGGCATGAGCTAATGTTGGCTATTAGTAAGAGCCTGAGTTAGGTGAGCTCTGGCCTTAATTGTCATAAGCATCTACCACTTAGTGCTTAGAGTCTAGAGATCTGGCTCCCAAGGGTGTCGGCTGGAAACTCTGGGGCAAAGTTCACTCCGCACAGGTGAGGTGGTCAGGAGTCAATCGACTGAGAGGCAGCTGAAGGTGGTGCAACTCCAGGTGAGTATGGGGAAGGCGATTCTTGGGGCAGTGAAAACCGAGCAGGGTGGGCTGAGGCCGTGGGAAGAGTCCCCTAAGGTCGAGGGGGGTCTGGGTCAACCTCAAACCTTACGATACAAATCCAGGAGTGCATATTTGGAACGGTGTCCCATGAAATTATGATTTGACTTACCCTCACTTCTGATTGCTGCTGGGACCACTCACCACAGATTGACGGGCTTAAAACATCGGTTCTCCACCTGTGGGTCGAGACCCCTTTGGGGATCAAACGACCCTTTCACAGGGGTCGTCTAATTCATCACAGGAGCAAAATGACAGTGATGAAGTAGCAACGAAAATAATTTGATGGTTGGGAGGGTCACCACCACATGAGGAACTGTATGAAAGGATCGCGGCATGAGGAAGGTTGGGAACCACTGGCTTAAAACAACCCAGATTCGTTATCTTACAGTTCTGGAGGTCGGAAGTTCAACAGTGGTCTTAGTGGGCTGGTTTCCACCAAGCAAACCCACGCCAAACTCACTGCTGTCCGGTCAGGACTCTTCCTGACCCAACAGGACAGGGCAGAACGGCACCTGTTGGTTTCCAAGACAGCCGCTCTATGGGGGAGAACGGCTGCCATGTGGTAGCAGCCAAAACATAACCCATGACCACATGAGCTCCTACAGAAGTTCCGAGGGAGAAAGCCATCTCCTTGCCTTTTCCAGCAGCCACTGGTTGGTGACCCCTTCTCCTATCTCCAAACACTGTCAACACCCACCTCTGACTCCATTTCCCCATCTCCTTTTCCTCTGATGCTTCGGCCTTCCTCTTACAAGATAACCCAGAATAATCTTCCCATCGCAAGACCTTTAGTGTGGCACACCTGCCCAGTCCTCTTACCCCCGAAGTAGCGTGTACACAGGACCCAGGGGTTAGGCTGTGGACATCTTGGGGGAGGGGCTTATTCAGCCCACCATACCCCCACCTTCCCAACCTCACTATGACGGGGGCAAGGAGTGATATGTGGGCATGAGCTAATGTTGGCTATTAGCTAAACCCGAGTTACGTGAGCTCCGGCCTTAATTGTCATAAGCATCTTGCACTTTGTGCTTACTGTGTGGCAAACTCGCTATATAATTTAATATGTGTGTCCTTTACTGTTTTGTGGCTCTTCCTCAGC